AGTCGGAATACAGAACTTTCAATAACTCTTCCGAAATTTTTTCTTGAGGAAATTTCAGAATGGGTGCTGAATTTCCAAGAAAATAAAAGGCACAAGTATTTCGCACTACTTTATTATTTGTACATGATACAATACACTTGCATAACACCCTACATTGCTCCTTTTCTGTAAGCGTTATTTGAGTTGAACATGGCTCAGCTGTAGAGCCAGGCAAGGCCATGATGGGTTGGTTCGTGCTTTTCAAGAGCCTGGCTGCTCAAGCTCGAGTGGAATGACACATTTAGATGAATGCAAACATGACACTTCTTCTCCAATTGTACTCTTTCTGGTGTAGAAGGATTCATTTGAACATTTCAATATATCATTCATTACAAATTTGTTTAACTATCTCCACATCAGTCAAACTACGTTATATACACCAAGCCGCCTTCCCAGCCAATCTTTTGCAATATTACAGAAATATTTCATAAATTTGATAGTATCAAGGAAACCACAGCTTCTTTATCTTTTGACGAATTGGTTCTAAAGGGGACAAAATGCTGCTTCTGTCCAATGAAACCAGCAGCCTTTTCTCACGCTACAAAATCACGTGAAATACGCGATGGGACAAATTCATGCTGCCGATTTCCAGAATCTGTAAAGTAAAATCCCGGTGTCTGAATTCCTGTAGAAGTAGCAGTACAGTATACACATCATTGCCTCTCATGGTGACAAAATTAGGACTAGTTTCATCAGCTCCAGGTAGGCTACCACCTTGCAATCCTAATGTGAGTGATACTGCATTTCCACTTCCAAATCTTTCTAGCTTGGAAATCTGGTATGCGTCTGCCATAAATCTTTCTTCGACATAATATGACTGTATAATCGTATCTGGAAAAAGGCTCCGGTCATCCGTGGAAGGAGGCCTTTGGTCGACCCTACATTTGTCCTATCCCATAACTATTTTCAGGTTCTGCACATATCAGATTCTGGAATGTGGGATTGTTATCTGATCCCACCATTCCTACACCATGGACATGATCAGAATTTGGCTCAAAAGGTTGCCTACTTCTACAATGCTCGGTTTCTGTGGAAGTTGTGGCTTGGTACAAATCTTCCGCTGCTTTTGCATCAGTTTTTGAAGCCTTTTTTGCAGATTCAGACGAAGAATTAGAGTATATCTCCACATCACCAACCTCTTTATTGTACATTTCTTCGACCATCAGCTTCCAGAGCCAAACTCGTGCATTAATGAACCAGTTTGAGACCTGATCAGTTAGATCAATCAACAAAAATATAGAAGCAGCAAGTATTCACTATAAAGACAAATGACAGTTAGCCTTTTAAAATGAGACAAATGTATGAGAAGGAGATTGTTTCACCTGACTTCTTGTCAATCCAGTCTGCCTTGCTAGCATGGTCTTGTCAAAATCTTTAGGGTAGCTGGAGAAAGAAAAAATAATCAATAAAATGTAAGAATATTATAAACAAACTCAATAGTAACGATAAAGAGAGAGAAAAATGTTCAGAAAACAAAATAAAGTTTTGCAGAACGAATGGATGAAGGAAGTGCTCGAAAAGCCAAGCGCGCAAAATTGAAACAGAGCGTTCCGGGAGTCCCCTCTGTGGCCTCCAAGCATGTGGTTGCATCATTCCTAGTTGCTGAAGGGCTATTTGTTGTCTGAGTTTCTGATCGACATATCACAGCCGAGATATTCCAATCCCTTCAACATTTGCCAAAGAATCTTCCTCCCCAAGGCTTGTCCGAGCCACACGAATCTGGCCATTTATTGCATCACGCAAGAAATGAAAGTGATGGGATATTGTCTTGAGGGCGAGTGCCGTGTATAGTTTGGCTGCACCACATCCTGCTACTACATCAAAGGAACACACCACTATTTGCATCTGATGATAATACTGTCTATACCTTTGATCAACCTGTAATAATTAAGATCTTTAATGAGAAATGAACATGATTGAGAGAGAGAGACGATTAGCCTGCTTTTCCAGTTTCAAATTCGAAAATGGCCGGCGTCTGGAAATATACACTAATTTAGATATGATGAACTACTATATTCCATCCAACCATCTCGGTGCAGGGTACTGATACAAAATTACAAATTCCTCTCCAAGAACAGATTTATACATATTTATTGTCTTGGCGACAAACCAGAGGCACGTTTAAATATTGTATGTTCACGCAATTAATAACAAGGAAAATAGGAGACATGGAATTCCTAATATCTGCATTGCCAGATTTCTCCTTGCCAGATCACTCTGTAGTTTCAGCAATCGTCTCATTTCAAATTGGGGACAAATGTAATCCTCATTAATTTGTTGGCATTTTAGAAGGAGAGAAATGGAATTTTTTTTGCTATGCCCTTCTTAGACAAATTTAATCTGCATCATCCCCAAATACATGAACTTGGAGAAGTCAATCGACAGATTTTAGATTACGTACTGGGGTAAATAGCATGGGTCTGTTGAACACTAACTGTTTCAGATTAACATGAATATGAAATTCATAGGTATACAGAAAAAATGAACTAAAAGCCAGATTATCAAGTTGTCAGAATGAGTAGTTATCTTTTTCCTTGATGAAAGAAGTTAATTCACAGGCTTTAGCAAGTTGAGATATAAGATAACAACAACAACAGACAGACAGATGGTACCTCGTCCAACATTGATATGAGCTTTGTGATCTTATCTTGCATGTCTTACTTCTTGGCTGCTGAAAGTTCACTAGGGGAGATGCTGCTCGACTCCTGAGGTATTGAAGATGTCCCAGCTGCAGAAGGGTCTAAGGTTCGATTCCCCAACTCTCCATCAGTTTCTTTAAAATTTCTTTTATGTTGCTCCATAATAGCCTTTCTAACTATACAGCTTCATCCAGCAATTGTTGAGCTGCTTTCAAGTACTTGGAATTAGGAATGACACTTGCAATACTTGACACTCCATATGCTGGGATATCGCCCTTCGTTGCATCTGAATTGCTTCCTGGAACATCAGAAAGCATGTAGCTGTTATACCTTGATCGTATAGTCTGAGAATCGTTGTTTTCTAAAAAAGAACCATTCTGGCCCCTGGTTTCACCCGATATATATGGATTCTGACCCAATAATGGGGAGATATTAGGATTAGAGCTCAGATACTGGATAGATGACATGTTCGTTTGTGATGGTTTCTGTGTACTAAGACTCGGGGATAATCCTTGTCCTTCAAAATTTGTAGCGCCTTGAAGAATGCCAGAAACTCCACCCATTGGATGAATCAAGCTAAAATCATGATCAATGGCTT